TGAAATATGTTAGGAACTGTATAAAAACTCACAACTAAAATAAAATATGAGAAAAGAGAAACAAAACCGATAATAGACAATAATAGAATTTTACTACCGAAAGAATTACAATACCCTATTTATATCTAAGGAGAAAACAATAATAATATTCTCTCTCATAAGAACTCAACTATTATGCAATACACTAGTAGAAAGGAGAATGAAGAGATTTGGGGTAATTTACAAGGTAGACATTATGCTCCTTTTATAACAAGAAAAATAAGCATCAATATATAATTTCTCTTATGTGAGACTTCTCTTCTCACATTCTCACAATGTCTCACTTAAATATTTTGATTAAATTAATCAAATCTTCACAATACACTATTATTACCTTCCATGTTGTTATTGTAATAGACCTTTCGTAGGATCGTCTCTATGTAAATTTATCACTATTAACTGGCTATCTTAACATCCGCTAGGTTCTTCTTGCTTTATCCTGAAATACAAGGTATGATTCCTTACAATGTGTAATACACTCTGAATGTCACAATACACAACAATTTTTTGTTTCTTATGCCCGAGTTCCTCCATTATCCTCTTAATCCAAATCACTTCCTTACATGTCTGGGTGGCTACCATGTACTCAACTTCTATGATAGACAGAACTACAACATCTTATAACTTGGATAACCAGTTATTGCCTCTCCAACAAAGGTAAATTCATCAAGATCACCTACAAGACCTGAACAAACATAGCATCTGACAACTAGTTTTGATCCTCTGAAACATAATATAACATCCAAGGTTCCTTTGATAAGAATTTTCTCGATAATACTCATGCTTTCCACCATAATTTGTCATTGATCTACAACCGCTCTCACTGCTTGTGTAATGTCTGGTTTGTACCAATCATGGTATTCATAAGACTTCCCACCATCGATGCATACAATACTCAAGATATTTTCACCCTCCCTACTTCATTGCTAGGACTGATACTTGAGGATAACTTGATAAAAAATAAGGGAAAAATTGGCTTATACCCTTGCATGTTGAAGCACTGCAAGACCTCCAGTAAGTAATTCTTCTGATGAAGTCAAACCTTCCTATCTTTTATGTCCCGGTGAATTTGCATCCCTAAAATTTTGTTTGTTGGTCCCTATTTCTTCATATCAGACTTCCTAGCCAACTATGACCTTCAAAACCTGGATTTGAACTTTGTTGGAGACTACCACCAATATGTCATCCACATACAACGACAAAATGATAAAATCATTCTCATAAAATATATTGTAATAGGTACAATAGTTTGAATTTAGTCTGTTATAATCAAGGATAATCATGAAGAATCAAATCTCTTGTACAACACCTGGACACCCGGTTTAAACAGCATAGAGATTTGGACAACCTACAAACCAAATTTCCTTTTTCTTTAAGTCTTTTGCTTAGAGCACACCAATCTTTTCTCTAAGTTCACCTTGAAGAAAAATAATATTTATATCACTGCTAACAATAATCTTGTGGATAGTAAGATTCACAAGAAATACTCCTTCATATTTTTAGTATAGTCCAAGAATTTGTTTTTCTTAAACTTTGAAAACAGAACCCCAAATCACTGACACAAATCTGGCATCTCTTAGGGATAATACTAGCAATTTCAATACATCATAATAAACCAAGTCCAATATGTATTTCCTCTTGGTACAATTTGACGAATGACTCTCAAATCTCCTCAATTGTACCTTTTTCCATAAATTTTCTATAACGTTGTTGTTTATTTCTTCCCATCTTTAAACTGTGATGTCCACAAAAATTGTCTTCATCTTTATTTTTCACAATGAAAAACTATTCTCATTAAACTTTTCTATCTCATATTTTGTTGTTATGGTTTTAACTAATTTATGCACATTTCACTATAAATAATATTGTCTATTGGAACATAACAGCATAAATCGTAACTAGTATACAAGGTAAGCTCCCAAGAAAAAAAGGTGGGTCACTAATGGACACACTTAAATACCAAATCAATCATCAGGTCGGATACCACTGTTAGGAATCAGAGTAACTGTATAAGAACTCAATTAAAATAAGATAGGAGAAAAGAGAAATAAAACTGACAATAGGCAATAATAGAATTTTACTACCGAAAGAAATTACAATACCCTCTTTAAATATAAGGAGAAAACAATAATATTCTCCCTCGGAAATAAGAGAACTCAACTACTATACAATGCACTAGTAAAAAGGAGAATGAAGATATTTGAGGTGATTTACAAGGTAGATATTATGTTTTTTTAATAACAAGAAAATTAAACACCAACATATAATATTCCTGATGTGGGACTTCTCTTCTCACATTCTCACAAGATATATACCTATAGCCAGTGATATAATGATTAATAAATTATTTCAATAACTAAAATAGTAAGAATTTTAGTTTAAATATCATCAACAACTACATAACTAATATGTTGAGTTCTAGATTGACCAATGTAATTTCTAACACATTAGACATGTGTAAATATAATGGGACCTCACTCTTCCTACCAAAACCAGTAGAGTCTCATAGTACCTTAACTTGATGAATATTAATGGTCCTAACAACATCCAACAATGTAGTCAAATGGTCACTATTAGTATATTGCTTCTTCTTTTTCATATTTCTGACGTTGTTGTTGCACATAAATAACATTAATATTAGAAAGGATATAATAACAAGTATTAAATAGTAGGAGTGTTGTTTTGTGTAAATAGTAACAATTCTTTCACTCATTTCTCATACTCACAGTTATAGGTGTATAATTAATCAAACTTTTGTCCATTTCTAGATTTTGTATGCATGCACAATTATATAATTCAGTCAACAATGCAATATGTCGAGGATTGAACACCCTCAAACTCAACACAAATTCGTTCAAAAGTCAAATATCAATGCACATCATTACAATGCAAACACTAAATTCATACAATCTTAATCTTATTAAGGAAGTTAGATTAGTTACTTACTTGAGGAGAAGAATGAGTTCCACAACACAACATCAATTTCACACTACAGGGAAGGGGAAGAATGAGCTCCATAGAACCCACTTCACAACACAACCATGAAACTACCACAAACCCACCACAAAGCACCACGCGGACCACCACACACCACCAAAAATCAGCTTGGGACCTCCACCAACCACCATGCATACTACCACCAGTAGTAGTAGAGACCGTACCACATAGCCAACGCGGGAGAAAGAGGTCAGTTGTGGAAGAGAAGGAGAACGAGCCATAGAGGAGCAAGGGAGAGAGAAGAGTGGCATGATAGAGGGAGAAGAGGGGCTGAGGAATGTGTAATACTGTCAAAAGGATGGAGGAAGAGAACATGATATAAAGAATACAACACAGTTCTAACTAATAATCTTTGTCATATAGGTTATACAAAGATAATTATTAAAAATCTATCATTCAATTACTAATGTCTCCCACATTCGACAATGGGTATTTAACTAACCATCATGGTATAGTATATTCAATCATGGTTAATAAATAATCATTGTCATATAATTAATTTTAATTTCTACAATGTCACTATATCTCTTTCGACAATGATTTTAAAATATATTATCAAAAGTGATTGGTTTTATTATATTTTGCATAAGTGTTGATAGTTTTATTTTATGTTAAATATATTATCGATAATTTTATTTTTCATTAGAAAAATTCTACGATTTTTATAACTAATTATTTTAATTTTTTCATGTTGATCATTTGTTTTTTTTTTTAGGAATACATCCTTAATAAGATTCTATAAATACAAAAGAAAATCATAATTAGTTATTGATACAACTAAAAATCACAAGTACTACACGGTAATACAAAGAAAGATGTAAGATTCTATCATATACAGAATGAGAAGAGGAGAGGTAAGTGGTATCTAACGTGCAGAATTAAGAATATAATAAATTTATAGGGTTGCAAAGTAAATAAATTTAAAAACTGCAAATTTAAGAATATAATTAATAATTCTTAATTATATATAAATCATAAAAAAATGGAAAAGAGCCATTAATATAAGAGTTTTCACTATAATAAATATGAGACAATGCAAACAACTAAAACAATATAAATAAAGAGTGAATGTAAATGTGAAATGAATGTAACTTAAACCTATTATTACAAGTTAAAATGTTCAAAGCTAAATTCATACAATGCAAAAACATAAAAGGACTCAAATATAGTGGTTAAGAGATTAAAACTCACAATCAAAGAGAGAAGAATTGTGTATCCAAGTAAGATTGCAAATTAACAATCACAAATGGAAAGACTAAATTTTGGGAAATTTCCTTAATTAAGAATTTTACAATATATTTATTAATGTTTGTTATCATAGGGTTTAGTTAAGATTTCGTCTAGTTTCATGAGGAGCTTTATTTATGTTCGATGTGATTTGTCTACGTTTAACAAAGCTTGCTTCGTTAAAACCTTTGTCGACCACATTAGAATTCCATCACATTTATGAAAAATCTTCAATGCTATTTTGTCAAATTTAATACGAGGAAAGTGGAAGACAAAAGATAAAAGAGAAAGAAGAGAATGTTTTATCAAAAGTGAGAAGGAACTCAAAAATGAGAAAAGAGAAAAAGAGGGAAGAGGTCAAATTTTTTTTTTTTTTGCCTAGGAAGGGAGAGGTTGAAATAAAAATTGTCTTGACAAAAAAATATTTGAAAATTTAAGTAAAAATTATGTAAAAATAAATTATTGTGATTTTCATTAATAATTATTATATATATATATTATAAATTAATTTGAGAAATGATTCATTTACTCTAAAAATAATAATTAGAGATTTAATTTTTGTTTTTATCATTTATTTTTTCTATAATGATTAAAAATAACTATTATGACTTAGAAAAAATGACTTAAGGCCGTCACAATTGATCATCATGGATTTTTATAGGTGACCATCAACTGTTACAAGTCAACAATGAACTGGTCCAAATTTTAAACAAAAAAGCTTAGCCAGTTACATATTTTCAGTCTTTCATCTCAGCAGGTATAGATTGTCTCCAAATTCCTGCTAGCATGCTCCCAAAGATTGCCTGAATCACACTTGAAACAGCACCAGGGACTGCAGTTAGGGGATCTCCAAAGTGTTTGATAGCAAGAACAACCGCAAGAGCTGAGTTCTGCATTATGAAGTGGAGAAATAGGTAAATGATTTTGAAATCACAAAAGGTGCATCAAGCATTCTTGTAATTATACATGATAACCTTTGCATGATGTTGTAATTATAGAGTGCTGACTTTACCTGCATGCCAACCTCAATGGATGTGGTTCGTGATGATGACACGTCTATCCCAAGCATTCTTGCTAGTATATAACCAAAGAAAAACCCTGAAGCATGAAGAAGAGAGGAGGCTAAAATCACTTGTCCACCAGACATAAGGATGGCTGAAGAGCTCTGAGCAATAGCACTTCCACATAAAATTGCCACAGCTGCTACAGCCATGGGTGGCATCAATGGAGAGACAAGTTTAACAAGAGGTTGAAAATACTGATTTAGAAATGCACCAGCCAACACAGGAAAAAGCACAACCTGTTGAGAGAGAACGAAGAGAGAGGAGTGACAATGACAAAGGAGTATCACAACAAATTACAAATAGAGAAAACTTTAATTTGAGAGGGAAAGCTTACTTGCAATGTTGAAATGAATAAGGCAGATGCATCCACAGTTACATATTTACCAGCCAGTTTGGAGGTCAGAAAAGGAGTCATGACCTGCAACGTTAATTTTGCAGCCATGTGAGAAAAGTTTCCAGAAAGTGTCGGTCAATCATAACCCTCTCTCCCTCTTTGAAGAACTGAATAAGGCCAAGTAGAATGCCACAAACAAAATGAATTTATTTGTAGAATCTCTGCAGATAATTGTAACAAGTGTTACGTAGCTAATGGATTAAAGAGATATTTTCATGTGGTGCTTTTGTTGACTCGTACATAAAATTATGCCATTGATATCTTTTTTCAAGATAGAATCTGTCTTTCAAATAAAGATGAGATAAACAACTACATTTTTGCATCATACCGCAAAATACACAAACAAAAAGAGAAAAATAATCATTTGCGCTATAGGAAATACTCTCCAAATTGTTTTCCATAAACCAACACATATTTAAAGCCTTTCTTCCACTGGTGTTGTTTTTTAATCAAATATAGAGTTTCACTCTAATAATACGCTATAGCATTTAATGGAATTATTTATAATGCAAATTACCTGAAACTATTCTAATCCAAAAATGAAACCAACAGCACCTATATGATACAGTGTCTAAGTTTTGTCATTACTTTAAACTATTATTAAAATACCAGAGAGAAGACTGATAGTAAAAAATTTTAGACTGCACAAGGTCAAACCTGAGCCGCAGCTAAATAAGAGCAATTCATTTACTATCTAAGCTAAGACTGATGGCATGTTTCATGCAAAACCCTATTCAGAATAATTGTCTTAAAATGACTTATTATAACCAACTACTTAAGGTTAGAGAGACAGAGTTCATCAAACAGTATCATATTGAACTAGAGAAATTCACATGGTGCCACTTGTAATATAGATTGGCATGCCTTCCACTACCCTGGTCATCGAGATTTCTCTTTAAATATAAGGAAACCAACAATAGGACTAAAATTATAGTACACTAACCACGGCACCTATGGTGCTTGCAGCTGTCATAATCACAGAAAGCGCCACATTTCCACTAGCAAAAGAAACAGGTAATCAGATTAAAATCCATAAAAAACATTAATTGGAATAACAGTTCTGAGGGTCAATATACCGTGCAAGATATGTAACAATGTTACTAGCTGTGCCTGCAACCAAACAAAGACTAGTTAGAGTAGGTCAAGTGTGGACAGAAAAAGCATATAAATCACCAGATTAAAAAACATACCGCCTGGACAGCACCCAACTAATATTAAACCTGCTGCATAATGTGATGGAAGATTCAAAAGTTTGCTGACAAGAAATCCAGTTATTGGCATCACCTGAAAATTGTAAACAATTCATGCAAAGAGGCTTCATCAAGTCAAGATGAAAGGTAATGCAAATAAATAAGTAAATTTTTTACTTTGAGGATACATTTTCTATTTTTCGAAGAAAAAGTGGAAAATAATTTTTTTAATCGTTTTATAGTTTTCCAGATAAAATTTTGAAAAATGTGATAAAGTAAAAAAATAAAAATAACATTTTCCCAAACTAAACAAAACCTTAAGTAACATGTTTGAGTAAACAGACTAATCATCACTCAAGAGGTTTCTTCCTGAGATTTTTTTGTCAAACTTCGATATCATTTTAAGGAAAAAGTTTATAACGGGTCAAAAGCACTTTCAGAAGTTCAACAACCAATCACTTTCCTTTTTAAGTAAATGTATGATTAGTTGAAAAATATATAAAAATTTAAGGCTCTTTCAAATGTCCTCTGCTTCCAGATAACTACCTCAGTAAATAAAGACACTAACCGAATACTGAAGAACAAAACCCGAGAAGACTTCCTTAGGCATGGCAAGAGCCCCATGAAGATCAGCAAGGGTTAGGGTCATACCCATACCAAGCATGATAATGGTCAGGCCCAAAATGTTCAATTTTGGTGTGACCCAATTGAAGCAACTGGGTCTCAACAATCCCAAAACGCACCCAATTGTCACCCACAATGGAAATGCCGTTGATATGGCGTCACCAACCTGCTCAATCCATTCCCGAAGACCTCTACCTTCGTTCGCACTGTACCCGTTCGACGAATTGCCACACTGAATCGGACCAGCCCTGAAGCTGTTGATTCTTGATGTGCAGAGGTACAACAGCGGTTGAGGCTGAACTTTGCATAGTAGAGATGATTTGGTTGAAGTGACAGTAGAGTGAGGTTTGGGGGAAGTGGTTGTTGGAACAATGTTGGTGTGTGATTTCACTTTGACTACTCCATGCAGAGGTAGAGAGCATGCTATCGATGCTTCCATCTTCTCCCTCCAAAATACTTACAAGACAATTATGATTGTTAAAGATTTAATAAGTCTGACAGTTTCTTTGAAATAATATTATATAATTTAAAAAAATATTTATTAAGTACTTCAAACAAGAATAGTTAGTAAAATACTATGGACAGGGTTCTTCCCTAGGTTTTTATATTTTTTTTAAATTAAAAGAGAAATAGATTAATCTATTAATGATTAATCGATTTTTAACATTTTAGTCTTTTAAAAACATTAAATTTATTTATTTATTATATTTATTAAAATTAAATAAGATAATATAATAATTTAACTGTTAAATTATTTAATAAAAAATTATATTTAAATTAAGTTAAATAAATTAAGTAATTAAATAAATATTTCTAATTATCATGCCCTACGATCTTTTTAAAACTTAATAACTTTTTTTAACAAGTTAAAAAAAATAAAATTAATTGAAATGAAATATAAGTTATCATTAAGAATTAATTTTCATTAACAAGTTTTTATCTTTAAACATTTCTTTAATGGTTTAAATAAGATTTTGTCAGGAATTGTACATATATATTATGATTATTTAATTTAAGTTTTTTTTGTAAATAAATAAAATGAAGTAATTAATAATCTATTTCTATTAGTTAATATTCAAATTATATGTTAAAATAAAATACTATTTTTGAAAATAAAGTAAAGTATTAAGTTTAATTATAAATAACTTAATTTATAATTTAAATATAATATTTTCAGTTATTATTTTTAATATAATTTTTAATTTAAAATTTAATTAAACAAATGACTTATTTTATTACTTATTTTTTACATTTATTAACCTAAGTTGGGTAAAACTATATATATATATATATATATATATATATATATATTAAATTAATAAATTCAAATTATAAATAAAATAACTTATCATATTTATGCTAATACTTTATTTTTATAAAAAATAACGTCAATAAAATAATTAAATAAATAAACAAAATTAACTTTTCGATTTTAAACATTAGAAAATGCGACTTCCAAAACATAAAAAGTTCTTTAAAAACTACAAAAAATCCAATAAAATTATTAAATAAAATAAAAAGGAATTTAATTATTATTATTAAATTATAACAATAACTTAAATATAATATTAAGATAATAAAATGAATCAATAATAACATTACGATAATAAAACATTTTATTTTTTTTATTTTTTTCTTATTCAAATAATTTTATTTTAATTTGTTACTCCCTTAACTTTTAAAGTGAAATAGAAATGATTTTATCGTCATCAACACCCGATCCACTTTTATGTGGGGCATGTTAAACATTAATTATTTAATAAATAAATATAGGAATATATTTTTTTGTTTTGATAAAATTATTACTAAGTATTTTAGATTTTTTTATTTTATCTCTTTAATTTTATATATTTAAATTTATTGATCATTATATTATTAAAATTACTACTAAATATTTTAAATATTTTATTTTATTTCTCTAATTTTATATATTTAAATTTATTGGTCATGATAAACATGTAGAAAATATAAATATATCACTTAATTTGTTTAAATAATTAAGAGTATATTTAATAAGAGTTATTTATTGAGATACTTAAATAAAATATTAATTGTTTAAAAAGAATTTATTAGATAAATTTTATATATTATAATAAGTGTTTACATTTTTTGATAATTGTTTTATCAAGTAAATTATAAAAATAAGCAAATTAAAATAAATAAGAAAAGGGAATAAATTTTTTAAAATTTATTAAAAATACTTTTAATGAAAAAAAGAGTTAATAGTAAAGAATAAAGTAAGAAGTAAGAAGTAAAATCAGAAAAAAAAAAAACTTTTAATAAAATTATTTTTTTATATTTTTTAAAATAAGAAACAACACGTGAATTACTCTGTTAGAGATACTTTAGATATCCCTCCGATTATTCATTGACACGGAACTCAAACATCACAGGTACAGCAGTTAAAGATCCCAAAGTGCTTCATTGCCAGCACAATCCCAAGAATTGAGTTCAACAAAATGGCATATGTAATAAGAGGTAAATAAAATTCATGCGAAATTTATTGAGTTGAAAATAATACTTCTTAAAAAAATTTATTCATATGTTTTATTCATACGGAGTAGATGATGATGGTATCTATATAATATATATGTTATTCTAATAATTCAGTAAAAACATTTTAAATATGTATTTAATTTTTTTTTTATATTCTTGTACTAGAATATTACGAGTTTTTATTTAAATTCTTACGATCGGTGTATTAAAAAGTAATTTATATATTATAGATTGTTTACATTATTTTCCGAATTACATCAACGACCACAAATCAATTCTACCTATTTTCCTATCTTAACAAGATTATTATAAATAAATTTTAAACCTTTGCATATAGATATATACTGACTAATATATTAAATACTTTTACATAGTAAAATTTATTTATTTAATTAATCATAAACACTTGTTTATACTTTTATTTTATATATACATACTAGCATTAAAAAAATATAAAAATATATAACTATAATATCTTAAGGGACTTTTCAACACTATTCTTAAATCAAAATATACTAGTTACTTTCATAATTTGTACTGTTCACTTCAAATAAATGTCTATTTTTATAAAAAAAAATGGTGAAAATACACAAATAAGTTATTGTAAAAAAAAATCTTATAAAATAGGTTTAATTACTTATTTAGTGTATACATACAACATAAATTTTTATCTTAGTTCCTATTTGTTTTTATTTCTTAATGTATCATCTTTTGATATTTTGGTTACAATAGTTAGACAAATGGCATAGAGGGGTAAATAGATACACAAATTAAAATAGATGTCAAATTAAAAATTTATTTGAGTCAATAATTTGTTTGAACACAGATAAAGCGGAAGTGATAATATAACCAGGAAAAAAGAAAGAGATAAGAAAAAAAGAAGAACCCATAGTAATTTATACTAGTTCGGGTATAGTCAACCCTACGTCCAGTTCCCAGCCAACTCTTAACACAAAAGTGACTCTCAATTCACTATCTTTCAAATTCAGTTTACAAATTACAATTAACTCAGTAAAAGAACCAGTAAAAAATAAATTAATTCAAAAGACAATCACCTCCTTAGAAACCCACTAAGGATGAACACCTCCCTAGAATCCCACTAGGGATGAACACCTCCTCTGAACAAATCAAAGGATGAAAAACATCTCCTTAGAATCCCACTAAGGATGAACACCTCCCTAGAATCACACTAAGGATGAAAACCTCCTTTGAACAAATCAAAGGATGAAAATACCTCCTTAGAATTTCACTAAGGATGAACACCTCCCTAGAATCACACTAGAGATGAAAAACACCTCCTTAGAATCACACTAGGGATGAAAAACGCATCCTTTGCCACCAATACACAAAGGATGAAGGTAATAAAAATAAGAACAGTCACACCTGGGTAATGGAGACAACAAATTGTAGAAGCTTGTAGAATGTTAATCTCCAAGAACAAGTGTGATTAACAATGAGAACACAGAAGGCAGTAGAGAAGAGGATTTTATCAGAAGGTGTAAAATATCTCTGTTACCTTGCTCAAAATTCTTTTCTCAAAACTAATTGAATGTAAATTATATTTTCGAATTACGTAATTATGTGTTTTTTATTTTTCATCAAAACTTAATTAAATAGAAAAATAACATTAGAAAATGGTTGTTGGACATTAATATTTTAGTGAATAAAAATCAAGATATATTCAAAAATATTTATTCTTCAAAACAGATATATTTTTCAAATTTGAATTGACATAATTAATTATGTTACCGAGTATAATCAATTATGATAGAGAAAATACTTTTTCCGTTTCGATGTATCATAATTGATTATGACAGTGAAAAATATCATGTTATGAATTTCATCACATTTGTGTTTTAGAGGTTTATGCATAATATTACTTCATCAACTTGTACATCCATATCCAGTATTCTAAGACTCTATCTAGTCTCCAGGAATCATCTTGGGTTTGCTTGAATATTGAATAAAATTTTTATCAAAATCATATCTTGGGCTTGCTTGAGTCTCGAATGTTGTTGACTTGAATCATCATCAAAATCATCTCTTGGAAATGTAGGGACATGTTTTACATTGTCATCAATCTCCCCCTCATTGCTTTTAATCTCCCCCTTTTTTATGATGATCAAGGAAACACCTGAAATGAATTAAAATGTTTGACTCTATATAGCCAGCTCAAGATTAGCACAATATAATATAAAGTAGATTAACACAGGTTTGTAGTGTCAGAGTCTCTTAATCTCCCCCTGGATATATTAATAACAAGACTCCCCATAACTCATATGAGCAAAGACTTCTCTTAACTCCCCTTGTTTAATTTAGAGATATGAATGAATTTCACACAGATTTTAATTCAAACAAAAAATCTCCCCCTGTTTCATTGATAATCATAAAAAATATTATAAGAGAAAAGAAATCTCCCCCTGTTTCACACAGATTACTATTATCAAAATATCTCCTTGTTTCATTGATAATTATGAAAAATATTGCAATAGAAGTTGAGAACAAATTTGCATATATTAGTACATAAATCAAGGTAGAGAAGATAATGCATTACAAAGTATCATAGAGAAGAACATCATATTAAGGAGGCAATATCTAGGATATCCAAGACAAATGAAGAGAGAGAAAGATAGGGGAATAGAATGATGGTAGAGATAATGGAATGAAATGTAGTAGTTTCCCCCAATTGTAGTATTCTTATTTAGGTAACTTTCAAATTCAAATTCACTCATATTCCAGATTTCAAATTCAAATTGCAACAAATTTCAAATTTCAAATTCAAATTTCAACAAATTCCAAATTTCAAATTCAAATTTATAATCCCAAATTTCAAATTCAAATTTCAAATTCCAATTCAAATTCAATTTCAAAAATCTCAAACTGCAAAAATTTCAAATTTCAAAATCTCAAACTACAAAATTTCAAATTTCAAAAATCTCAAAT